TTTGAACTTAGAGTTTTCACCTAAATGAAGCCCAAAAGAGATCTGAAGGGAAGGAGGTAAACAGCCAAAGCAAGAGACTGAAGGAATAAACTTTTCACATCCAGGGTTAGAGGTGACAAAGGAGCCATAATCAGGGTTCCTCTGTCACGCAGTGTCCCTTCTGCAGCACTTCCCACCTTGTGCACGTGCCCAGGGGCCTCTTTGTCCCAACCCTGAGCCGCAGCTGAGATTGCCCCTCACAGAACCTGGATGCCACTTCACATTTCTCAGCTTCGCGTTTATGAGCAGCTCTGAACACTAACATCTGAGTTTTCTCACCCAGTGGCCTCCAGGACACTGAAAGATCTGAAGCAAAGATGAAGCCAGGAAAAAGGAGCAGAAACCAAAGTCCTCTGAGATCAAAGCACTTTTGTCTAGAGATTTTCAATTAGATCAGAACATGCTCTGGCTGCTCTTCCTTGCTGCGTTCATAATGCAGATGAGCTTCATGTCAGCTTGGCCTCCTTTCCTCCTACCACGTTGGCTCCAGCTTCATTTCATTAGCGATGGCCTGCCTTCATTAGTGAATTAATTCCCCAGGAATTGTACTGCAATAAACTCTACCAGAGCAAGGACCAGCAGAGCTGCATCTTGGGGCTGGCTGGACAACTGCAAGTATTTTCTGGACCAAAAGGATATTCACAGAAATACTAAAACCAAATTTTATTCAAACCAGACCTGGAATCTTTGAAGCTTTTTCAACCAAAACAAGAGGAGATGTTTTGTGTGTTAGATTTGGATTGACCTGTGGGTTGGAAATCTAGGAAATGAGCCCTCTTCTCTCCTGGGGGACAGACCCCAAGACAAAAGTCAAATCAATATAAATGCAATGAATACATCACTCTCCATTTGTTTTCAGATGTGTCTTGATATGTAAGATGGCCATGGGGGCTTTGTCCACCCAGTGCCAGACACCTAAAGAGCACGTCCTGGGCTGAGCTGGGCTCCCTTGGCTGCCACAGAGAGGGATGCAGAGGTCTGGCCACACCAAAATGTGGCAGAAGAACTTGAATCTAGTCTGGGAATGATGAGTGACGGGAAAGGGGGGCAGATAGTGTCCTTGGGGTGAGGGCCCAAAGAGCATTTCATGATGTCCTGGAGATAAGGGGCCTCAGCATCTCACCCAGTGACTCCATCCTCAGCCCAAGAAACTTTGACTGCAGCATCTCCTGAAGCATCCTGTCATGAGGCAGCACCTCTCCCTTGAGGAGCCTGCTCCATGTCTCCCTGTTAGCTCTGTGCAGCCCCTGGGGACAATTTGTCTGCCTCCGCCTCCAACCATCACTTCTTGCACTTCCTCTGGGGATGCAAACAGCACTCTATCAATAATTGATATTTTGCCTCTTTGCGTTATTTTCCAAACCGTCAAAGACATTTTTGTTCCACACCAAACCAAAGCTCCTGCCCACCCATTTCCCTGGGATATCAATGAGGTTGGACAGTTGCTGTCCTCCCTCCAGGCTCCTTTCTCCTGGCCTTGGCAGGGCATCCAGGAGGACTTGGGGTGATGCCCATCTCTGTGGGAAAGGGATGGCGCAAAAACCACCAGTGAGGGAGGACAGGAGATAAAACTAGCAATTATGGTCAGGTTCAAAACCCCACAGACAAAGGAAACAAACCCAAATTGTATGATGATGGTGACTATTATCATGGATGTTTTAGTCGCAGCTGTTAATAAAAAATAATAGTAGTAATAAAATTGCAATGATGCTAGCAATTGTTCTAATGCTGATGATAATAATAAGATTATTTATGAATTGTGAGCCATTATCAGCATTTTCTAGTGCTTCTGCCTCCCAGACCCATCCCAAACTCCAGGCCTGTCATATTAATGCAAAATGAGGTAAATGAGAAAGGCTTTTTCCTTATGACATAACCAAGGAAGAAACACAGGAACAGCAAAGTCTGTCCCTGGCCCCTCTGCTAATTACACCCCACCAAACGCCCTATGCCATGAGGTTGAGCTTTAGGGTTTGCAGCCTTCAGAGCAGCTGAGCCCCATAAGAGCTGCATGGTCAGACCCTGTGGGGTGGACAGAGGAGTCATTTTATGGCTTTTGTCATTCTCCATGTAGGGCTGACAGGGGACAGTGGGCACCCATGGGCCCCCGGGGAGCATGTTTCCCCGCAGGCTGCTGCAGCTGGCTCTGCCCTTGGCTTGTTGCTTGAAGGAGCAAAAGGAACAAAAGCCCCAGCTCCAAGTGTTGCTGTTTCCTATGGATATTTCAGGTTCAGCCATGATTCCTGTGACCCTGGTGCACACGTGCAAGGGGATGCACAGACAGGCTTTGCTTTCAGCTGCTGGCTGCTTCTTCAGTGCCATGCTTAAACCTCACGGTGTGAAGTGAAGCGAGGAGCAGGGAGAGCCAGGTCCTGATGCTTGAACTGGTGTGTGTCAGGCCAGGCATGTGCAGCAAGGTGGCAGAGATGGATGTGCAGCAAGGAGGAGGGATGGATGTGCAGTGGGGTGGTGGCATCCATGTGAAGTAAAGAGGGATCGATGTGCAGTGAAGAGGACAGATGGATGTGCATTAACAAGGGGTGGATGTGTATTGAGAAAGGATAGATGTGCAGCGAGGAGGGATGGATGTGCAGCAAGGAGGAATGGATGTGAAGTGAGGAGGGATGAATGTGCAGTGAGGACAGATGTGCAGTGAGGAGGAGGGAGGGACATGCACTGAAGTGTGGAGGTGGATGAGCAGTGTGTGGGGCGATTGCTCTGCTATGTGTGTGTTACACACTCTGGACCATGTGAGCTTGCATGCACCCAGGGACCTGAGGTCTGCACAACCTCCGCAGCTGTCCTGATAGCCATCTACAACAACACGCAATGTTCTGGAGCTGCAGGGGGCCAGGGCCGTCTGGGCTGGGCCCCCTGCAGCCGTTCCCCATCCCTTCTGCTTTGGCTGCAAGAGTGAACACTGTGTCCTCTGATCCAACCCTGGTTCATGACTAACAACAGGGTCTCAGTGCTCTGAGACTCAGGACACTCTGTCCTGTCTGCTGCACCAACCCAGGCATGAGGGCAGGGGGAGAAGGGGTGGGTGCTCTGGGAGCTACTCCTGGGTGCTGGCTGCAAGCCCTGGGAGGATGTCTGGGGACTATGGTGGCACCTCTGCTGCTCAGCAGCCTTGTCTCTCCGGTGATGGCTGTCACACAGCTCTGCAGGGCAGGGAGCACCCAAGACAGCAGCACGTTCAGCAAAATCAGTAGAAGACCCTAGAAACCCCCGAGAGTGGGGAGGTGGGACACAGCTTGCAGGGATTGCAAAGAGGGAAGGAGCTGGGGGGCGGGAGTGCTGTTATTTCTAGTGTCACCCCACTGAGCTGCTGGAGCCTGAGGAGGGGGGAGTGGAGTGTCACAGCTGGAAGGGCACATCAGCCTTCCCCAAGGACCTGTTATTCATGACGTGGGGTGCACAGGCCAGCACACAACCCCCTGGGAGCCTCTGGTATCCTTCTGCCACCCGCTGCTCCCATTACCCCCCCTTCCCTTGACTTGGTCCACAGCACTGGTGCTCTCCCACCACTCCTCACCCTCCCCGTGCCCCAGCTCTCCCTGCCCTGTGCCTTTCTCAGGGTCTTCTGCCCTCTCTCCTCCCCACAAGGAATAAATCAATCTCCAGCTCCAGCCTTGGCTCTCAGAGGAAACAGCAGCCCGTGTTGCTACCTCCTTCCCACGGGACCTGGCTGCCTCCTGGATGCTGGGAATCTTTTCCCAGACCAGAGGGGGTTCATTCAGGAAAGCTGTTGGTGACCAGTGGCTCTGGACCCTCTGGACTCGTGGGGACCAGTGTCTCCTCCTCCACTTTGTGCCCCTCTATGCTCCCAGCCTGACACCTTGCCCATTAGATTGGTCTTGAGAAGGGACCTTCAAGGGGGAGGGAGAGTGGGTTTGGGTCCTTAGCTTTATTAAAAAGCCCCAAAATGCTCCATTTTTCCACCACAGGTAAAGGTTGCAGGCATGCAGCAGGGAGATCTGAGCATCAGGATGGAGATCCAGGTTTGCCAGCCACCTCCATGTGGTCCCCATGGCCAGGTTAACACCAGCATCACTGAAAAACCCAGTAAACAGTCAGAAAAACTTTCTTTGTTCAATCCCCTCTGGTGGAAAGCAATTACACTTGGGCTGTGAATCTTCTCGGTCTCCAAGGAGAAGATTTCCTTTGAGGGCCAGGGGGAAAAAAATCAATCTATCAGGCTCCACTTCCCGCTTGGAGAGCTCTGGAGAGACAAGCCCAGCCCCAGTGTGCTCTCTGGTAGCATCAGGGAGGGAGCAGAGCCCAGCCGCAGAACGGCTCTCCTCCTCCTCCTCCATCCCTTGGCACCAGCCCATCAGGAAAGAGGGTTTTGTCGATTGGCCCAGCACATTAGGAAATGAAACAGGCTGTGCCCAGAAGCTTCCCCAGGAGGTCCATTAGCACCGGTGGATCCTTCCTCCAGCCTGGTAGGTCCCAGAGGATGCTTTTGCTGATGATTTCCTCCCCCGGCACACGGGGAATTGTCTGGGACAAGGTGCCAGCAGGGCTGGCGCATGGGGGGAGAAAAGAGTGACCTGCTGCTCTGGGTGTAGGGAGCTCAGGTGTAAGGTGGGCTGCCGGAGCTACATGAAACCCCCCTAGATATGAGGATTGACCACACGGCCACGGTCCAGGTCGCTAATGCATTTCCTGGCTTGGCATCAAGCCCCAGAGCTCCAGGATCATGTCTGAGGTCTCTGCCCATCCCTGGGGCTGGGGGTGATGGTGGGAGACAGGGTGAGGTTCCCCAGGGCACATATATAGAAACCAGTCTGTTAACATATCTATCGGGACAAGCTGTTACTGATTGCCAAGGAAGGGAGTGAGGAGCATTGTGCCATCTCAGCAGGGGCACTGCCATCCCATGTGGAGCAGTCTTAACCCCCAGGCAGAGCATTCTTCTTGTGTTTAATTCTTTCCTGCGGTTGTTGTCTCTTCCACAGGTATAAGAGCGTGGTGACACCCCGGCGGGCAGCAGTGGCCATCGCTTGCTGTTGGATCGTCTCCTTTCTGGTGGGACTCACCCCTATGTTTGGCTGGAACAACCTCAACAAGATGCGGAGGACTCAGGAGCTCAACGCCAGCCACACAGAGTTTGTCATCAAGTGCCAGTTTGAGACAGTCATCAGCATGGAGTATATGGTGTACTTCAACTTCTTCGTTTGGGTCCTGCCTCCTCTGTTGCTGATGCTGCTCATCTACCTGGAAGTCTTCAATCTCATCCGCAAACAACTCAACAAGAAGGTCTCCTCCAGCTCCAATGACCCCCAGAAGTATTATGGGAAGGAGCTGAAGATCGCCAAGTCATTAGCACTGGTCCTCTTCCTCTTTGCACTCAGCTGGCTCCCTCTGCACGTCCTCAACTGCATCACCTTGTTCTGCCCATCCTGTGAGACACCACACATCCTCACTTACATCGCCATCTTCCTCACCCATGGCAACTCGGCCATGAACCCCATCGTCTATGCCTTCAGGATCAAGAAGTTCCGGACAGCCTTCCTGCAGATCTGGAACCAGTACTTCTGCTGCAAAACCAACAAAAATGCCAGCACCACCATGGCTGAGCTGGGCAACTAGGAGCTGGGAGAGAGCAGAGAGGGGTTCTCCAACCCAGTCCCCATCTGGCCACTGTTCCTGCTGTTAGGAGAAGGGGTAGTGAGGACCCGGGAGGGCTGGGTTCACCAGCCCTGTGCAATTTGAACAGCCATGTCCCCCAGCTGCCGCAGGCGGTTATTTATTCACAAGCATCGTACTGTTTTGATATTGTAGCCTGCAGTGTTCCTTTCCTTTTTTTTTTTTGCCTGTTTGTTTTTGGTTTTCATTTTTTTAAGGGTTGCCAAGTATTTAAGGAGAAATTGTACAGACAAAGGCGCAGTTTATCTTCATGCAAATAAAGTAAAATAATAAAAACTACCCAGGAGGTCCTCTGCCGTTGATGGAGACCTCTGGCTCCTTGGAGCACAACAGTCGATGATGCTGGGAGTACATCGCGCTCTGGCCCCTGCGTTCATGGACCCATGGGGGTACCTGGGCACTAGGGCAAAGGGATGCTCTGGTGGGAGTGAAGCTGGTGATAACCAGGAGAGCCCAGGGCAATGTGATTTCTGCAGCTCTGAAGCTGGCAGCTTTCAAGCCCTTTGTTTCTCCTCTATAACCAGGGAGAGGTGAGCTGGGCTGAGACATGGGAAGAGATAGGAAAAGGCATACCATGGCAATGCCAGCACCCACAGGGTGATGAACCCACCATCCCCACAGAGCAAAGGGTCAGTCTCCAACTCTCAACACTACCAGAGAGGTAGGTAGAGGGGACAGGAAACCCTTAAGCGTAACCCCAGAGTACTCTGGAAGAAGTACCCTTTGCTGCCCAGTGGCTCTCCATGGACCCCAGCAACACCACCACCCCTGCAAGCTACAACCAGGGAGCTGTGTCCCCTCCATGTGTCTTCTCTCTCCTCTTACTTTGGCTTTGAGTCATTTTTCCCTCTTTTCTCCTGCCTGTCTTCTGTGCAAGGCAGTAGCAAGCCTCTCCCAGCCCCTGTTTGTCTTATTTCTCCCATGTCGCTCCCTACCACCCTCCCTGTGCAGCCAAACCTTTTTGACCCAAACTTTGTGGATTAACGCAGCCACCTCCATGGCCCCGGGAAGCAGAGGCACCTGCGCTCATTTGAGGGCGAGTGGGGGACAGCTGCAGGCCACCATGTTGGTGTTGATGCTGCCACAGGGGCATTTTCCCACCCCCATATGTCTGCCTCAGGTTTAGCCGTGAGCAGGGTGTATTGTTAGTCAAATTTGAGGAAGGGGTGGCTGGAGATGGACCATCACCCCCACCCAGCTCTGTGGTACCTGTGGATGCTGGCAGCCACACTGCCAGTCCCTGCTCTGCAGCAGGATCTCGTCCAGGGCTGAAGAGGTGGTGGGAAGAGTTAATCTGAGTTAATTGGGATTCTTTTCTTATCAGCATCCCTTGTTCACCAGTCTCCCATTGGAAACACACTTCCTATGACCCTTCCCCTGCCCTAGGAGGGTCGTGTCCCTGGGACGTCACCAACCAGCAAAGTGAGTGCAGCAAGTTCCTGCAGGGGCTGGGAGTGGGTGCAGAGAAGAAAAGGACCTTGGATGGGTGACATTTATGGGTAGCTCGTTAGCTGGCTACGGAGAGCAATGCTGTGCACATGTATCATGGGCAATGCGGCTGCTGGGTGTCCCCTTTGCCCACTGCTGCAGCCAGCTCTGTTTAACCTGAAGGGAGTTCTTCCATTTCTCTGAGAGGAAGAGGAGGGCAGCGAAGAGAAGAGATGAGGGTCTCAGCCTCCCACACTTTGCAAGGCCCTCAATATATCTTATCCAGGCTCCTGGCTCAGACCACACTAGGCAAAATGGGAGTGGAGCAGAAAAGCAATGGCAAGGACAGGACCAAATCCTTCCCCTGGGCCTCATTGTGATGGTGGGACCCTGAACACCTTCCCAGCCTCCTCGAGGTGAAGAACCCAAAGTCCTTTATCAGTAGTGCCTGAGGATGCTGCAACCCCAGGCTAGTGCAGAGAGGACCCCCCCTACCCCGTGCCCATGGTCCCTTTGCACAGCAGTAGCTTGGCCTCAGATTAGGGCTGCTGTTTACTGAGCACAGGTCTGATTCCCACTTGCATCTTATTTCTGCAAGAGGCTGCTTTCCTGGAACTGATGCCTTTGCCTGATCCTTGCTAAGGTGCCCAGAAACCTGATGACTGGGATGCTCATAAATTAAAAGGCATGTGAATGATTGCTTTCAGAAAAAACATCTAGTGGATTTTTCCACTCCATGCTCTCAGGACCTTTCCCGGGGAGAGATCACTAAAAGTGGATGCTGTTACCCACCCTGGTCCCCTGTGGGGTTACAAACACAGTCTTTGCCCTGTAGGACTGCATTAAGAGTCTGGAAAGGGCATGGTGTGCAGCATGACACAGTCTTGGAGATGCTGCTTCTCCTTTATGTTAGCAAACCCCCATCTACTACAGCCCAGTCCCAGCCTCTGTCCCTCAAGGCTCCCACTGGCCAAAGCGACATGCCGAGATGCCAGGGACATCAAGAGGGCCAGCACATCCCCATGAGTGTCCAAGGCCAGGTGTGAGCATGCCAGGGGAAGGCCTGCTCTCAACTTGCCATCTGGACTGCAACCTCCACGCTGGTGGCATCATCGCTAACCCCAACAACCTCAATAAACCAGCCTGACCATCAGCTGGGATAAAAATTAATCTGACAATGCCCTCTGATGGTGGAAACAATGTCTGGTGTGGACAGTGCTGTGCCAGTGCTGAGCCCCTGGGAACAGCAATACCCCCATGGACTTCAGTTTGGACATGGAGAGTACGTGGCTGGGGGCACATGTGGACAAAGCAGAGGGGCTGCAGGAGAGATGCTGCAGAGAGGGGTCAGCTATTTTAGCCATAGGCACTGCCTGGCTTTGCTCTCCAGTGGCACCAAGGGCAGGCTGGGCTCAGATCTGTGGATGCTTAGGCTGGATTTGCACCCACGTTTGCATTGCCAGGGCCTACAGGGATATGCCTTTCTCAGGACAGGATCTGGGTCTGGCCCCATGACCAGGCTGGCACGGGCCTGGGAGAGCTCCTGCCCTCACCCACGTGCCAGATCTGTCAGCCCAAGAGGGAGGTTGTGCTGGCAGAGGACGTACACCGCGCTGCTGACCCCTGGTTAACAATGCACTTAGTCAACTTGATGGATCTGTCTGGGCTCTCTGTTAATAAACAGCATCTGACCTGAGCTGTCTCAGAGCTGTAAGTAACGAGTCATCTTCTGCACATGAGCTATCGGTAGCTAACAGGGCCAATTCCTCCTTCTCCGGATAACACATCAACATGTCCTGGCCCTGCCGTGTCATGCCATGGGGAGGGGATGCTGGTGGCAGTTTGTGGCTGGATCATTGCATCACTGGCATGGATAAAGAAATTGCGCTTTGATGAAGAAGCATCAGCACGCCACAGTTCTGATGTTGCTATTATTTTTTTCCCCTCCTCAGCCAGAATCATTCTCCAGCTCCAGAAGGAAACTTTTCCCCATCCTCCTCCTTGTTGGGTTGCTTCTGGTTTAGTCATCTTTGTATGTGTTTTATAAAGCTGGCCCTTTCTTTCCAAGCTCAAAAGCCATCTCCTCCACCCATGGTTTGGTAGGATGCTATATGAACCCGTAGCATCCCTGGCAGCTCTCTCCCCTCTACCTTCCCCCACCCAAGCCAACCCCATAATAAGCAGGACAGAGTGGTTTGGGCTTTTTTATTAGGACCAAAGTCCCTCACATGGGCTTGTTTTATTGTCATAGCTAAGGACACATTCAGAGAAGACCATGCCATGGCAGGCTGAGGTGCAGGCCCCCCCCCAGAGCACTTCCAGGGAGGAGGCAGGCCAGCAGGCAGCAGAGGCCATGACCAGGAGCATCGCCATGTGCCATGCTACCGCACAGCAGCTGCAACATCCACCTGGGGTAAAGGAATGAGATCTGAGTCCTGTGAGGGCATCACTGCTGAGAGACCAGTGGTCAGGGATGAGATGGGAAACCACGTCCCAGCCATGGCTCTAGTGCAAGACAAACCCAGCCCAGCTCTTCCACCCTCTCCTGCCCCACAAAATTCAGGTGCAACTCTTTAACTCTGCTTTTCTACCCTGCAGCCCCATTTCACACTCCTTTATAGCTGCCCCCAGCCCCAATACCTGACCCTCACGTGCATCCAACCCCTGGTGCCCCAGGTCTTTGAGCCCTGCCTACAAACTGGGGCTCTACCCACTGTGCTGCCCATGTGCCAGGCACACCAGTCTCCACATGCATCTTCATCCTCCTGGCCATATTTACAGCCCTCCCTCCACTTTGCAAAGGGGCAGGTTTCTCTCAGGCTCTGCAGCATCCCACCCCACCAGTCCATCTCCAGCCATGGGATGAAGAAGACCTGAGCTGGGTCCCCAGCAGCAGGTGACAAGGGCTAATCCAGGACACTCAACCCACTCCATCCCTGACAAAGTGATCCACCCTCCCTCCATCCCGCAGCCCCAGCCCAAACCTACCTTGCTCTTTGTCTTGCCCTTCAATCTGTCCTCACTGGGGCACTGCAGGAGAGCATGGGAGATATAAACCCCCTGAACTCCCCTCATCTTACCCCCCTTTTGACTTCCAAAAGTGAGCCAGGGCATAACCAACCCGCTCATGTGCGCACACCAACGTGCACCTACCCACACCATCCCTGAACACACATGCTCCAAGCAATCACGAACACCACCATCACTGCCTGCTGCTGGCCGGCTTGCCTCCAGGATCCTAGCCTGGGTCACTCCTAGGTGCTTTGTGTCCCCAGCACAACGCCAAGCTCATCCTCCTGGCCGACTTCACTGTGTTGCCTGCATGGCTGCACTGACAGCCCTGCCTGCAGGGCAGCGTGGCCGGGGCTGGCTGGGTCAGTGCTCGCTGCACCAGCTGGGAGCCCTGGCACCAGCTGCCGCAGAGCCAAGCACTGACCCCGTGCCACGCCGGCAGCCCTGTAGCTTCAGCAGGGACCGAGGGTGCCAGGCACCTGCCAGATTGGAGCCCTGCCTGCGTGG